TGTTTATGTTTTTGGATTTAGAATTTCCATTTGGTTTCAGAATTCTTTCTCTTTTTACTTCTGTGCCAACATTCCGAGTCTCATCTTTGATTTCCTTGAACAAACTAGCACAGCTGTTTTAAAATCCTTGTCCATTGGTTCTGTGATGTAGATCCCTGGCTGGGGCGGGGGTGTCTCTTTATATCATTTGTTCTTTCTCTTAGGTTTTAGTTACGTGATCTTGTCTCTTCTTAGAAGAGTTATTTTTGACTGAGTGCCTGACATTGCATATGGAATATTATAGAGAAGATTTGACAGTATCTTCCTCTTAAAAGAATTTGTGGCTCACCATGGGGTCCTTGTGGTCCCAGACCACCCAGGTTGAGGGGTGACTAGATGGCGTGAGCCTAGAACTCTGTGTCCTGTGTGCATCTGGTTCTCTCTGATTCACTCTGACTTCTAATGTCTGCACAAAGGCTTGGGGATTTACTAGGAATTTTTTCCCTAGGCAAGCCCTGGATTCCGGTTTTTGTTGTTCCCCCACTCTGCATCTGTTGAAAGCTACTTATAGGGAGACACAGCTCCAGCACTGTGGTCTCCTCCCTGGGTTCTGCTCCTCAGTCTTCTACTGGCTGTGTAATTACCACTGTGGTCCAAGCTTTCTGATACTTCCAAAAACACATTTTTCAAATTTTGTCAGGGTTTTCTAGCTGATCTCACCATAAAAGTTAATCTCAGCAACAAAGTCTGACATTACCAAGTGTAAAAATATGATTTATGCTGTAATAAAATCCCTGATGGCAAGAATTAGCACAGATGAGAGGTAACAGTGGCTTTGACCAGGTCAGTAAGAAATAATATACCTAAAATTTATAATTCTCTATACATCATTGTTTGGCTTTGGACAATCCTGAATATACCTTCTTTCCTTGCCTTCCCAGTATAGTGATATCATTATTTTTAATTCTATTGTTTTCCTACCAAAATTTTAAATTTTAAATAATATAACCAACCCCTGTTCTATAATTTCATTAACTGTGAGTTGTATTGATCCTCCGAGTATATTTTTTCAAAAACAATGAGGTCTGTGATACTCTTTCTTTTCTTTTCTTATGGTACTAAGGATTAAACTCAGAGCCTATGGATTGAGCTGCATCCCAAACCCCATTATCTTTTATTTTGAGACAGGCTCTCACTGAGTTACTAAGTTTCCTGGGCTGGGCTTGAATTTGTGGTCCTTTTGCCTCAGCCTCCTGGAGTGCTGGGATGACAGTCATGTGCCACCACGCCCTGCTGGAAATTCTCTTATTCTTGAGAATTTTTCCCTTTTATTTTTGTTTTGTTTTGTTTTTTTTGAGACAGGGTATCACTATGTAGTTGAGACTGACTTGGACCTTACTATGTAGCCCAGGCTGGTCTCTAACTCACTGCAATCCTCCTGCCTCAGCCTCCCGAGTGCTGGGATTACAGGCGTGCACCACCACACCTGGCAGGGTCTCGCCAATTAATTGAGGCTGGTTTGAATTAATGATATAGCCCAGGTTGTCTTCAAACTCATTGTGATCCTCCTGCTTCAACTTCTTTATTGCTGAGATTACAGGCATGTGCCGCTATGCCCAGCTCATTTTTATTTTTTCTTACTCTTTTACTTTCATAATGAATATTTTCTTCCATGTCAAGTAATCTTATGTTTGCCTTTAAGAATTAATCAGCCATCTTATTTAGATCCTGACTAGAAAATTAAAAAAAAAAAAACCCACTTTATGGAGAAAGTCAGAAAGTTTCAACCCTGAGTGAACAAGAAATGGAGCAAGGGAAGAGAGTGTGATGGAGGAGGGGACATAAAAAGACTGAAGACGTGTTATGTTCATGTACCAACTCTTCATGATGAATGCAATCATTATACCCTGCTGTACTAATAGAAATAAAAAATTTTAAAAAACAGAAAAGGAATAAATATGGATTTATAGGATGGCAAAGGGTATTGCTGATCCTAATTAGTGTGTACACATGTGTGTGCCTAGGTGTGCTTTTTTATTTATATGGTGCTGGGAATCAGACCCAAAGCCTCACTCATGACAGGTGAGTGTGCTCTACTCCTGAGTGGTTGTGTTTTACAAGAGACGTCTTTTAGTGATGCCGACTGAAGTATTCAAAGTGAATGATACAATGTCTGAGGTTTGCTTTGATTCTCTCTGTGCAAAGGGAATGGAATGAGGTGCAGAACTGGCTGTATTGATCATGGGAGTTGAGTGCGGGGCATTTGGTAAATCGTTACATTATTCTCTCCACTTTTGTGCCTTCTTGAAAATTTCCATAATAAAAGATTAAAAAAGGTGGGGGGAGACAGAGAGCTGGGTGGGGCAGGCTTAGCTCTGGGCCTCCTGCCCTAGGGTCTCTTCCAGCCGTCTACCATCCGGTCCACCGTGTCAGGGCGACTCGTTCCCCTTCTGGAGCCAGGAAAATCCTGGGCTTGAATCTGCTTCCAGGAACCTTTTAGGATTGGTTGATGACATCTCTCCTGTTCTCTTTGTTGTAGATTTATATATGCACATATTTTAATGTTACTATCCTTGTAGTGGAGTGTCTGGAGGGAGGAGACATGTCATCCTCCTGCCATCTTCTTTTTGGAAGTTCCAGAAAGATATTTTTAAACAACTGTACATGACTGTATCTAGCAGCAACCCTTACTGGCGTCTTTCCTGGTTGAGAATTAGGATACAGCAGGTATAAGAGGTGGCAGTGACAGGCACATCCCTCACTCTGTTTCACACAGTGCCTGCTACTTGGCGTGGCCCTGGGAGAAGTGATGTAGTCCCTCCTCCCTCATCCTGGGGCCAAGGCCTTGAGCTTGATGTATGGCGGTGAGACTGGCTTTGGACAAAGTCAGGGCCCCAGATGCTCCCCTCCAGGCTTGTTTTCATCAGTGTGTCTGCACCAGGGTGAAGGTCCCCCTGTGTTTTCTGGAAACTCCCATCCATGTCCTCATTCTAACAGGCCTAGGAGGTGGCCATGGTTTGACAAGAGGCTCATGGGATGAACAGGTGGGCAGGAGGGCCCAGTAGGTGCTGGGATCTCAATGCCTGGCAGCTTCTTTGCTCTTTGTGGCTTCAGGGTTTTCACATGGGCAGGGAGCATGAAGTTAGATATTTGGAATGAATAAGCAAAAGGTTTGCTTAAAAGGAAATGGAAGCAGGACAGGTATCCTCAGCGTCAGCATCTTCTGGCCCCACAGAGGTCACCAAAAGGACCCCCAGGCCTGTGTGCAAAAGGAGGTGACATCAGAGCTGTGGCCCAAGCCCTTCTTGGTGGGCACTGACTGGCAGGGCCATGGCGTCAGAGGTGTGGGCAGGGAGGTAACAGTGATGTGAGCCCATCTCCTGTGCCATGGGCACTGTCAGGTTCTCCAAATGTCCCTGGTGTACCACCTCATCACGCTTCTCAGAATGACAACCCATTTAAAATGTTGGAACTTTGTACTCCTGGAATTTGCCCTGTAGTCTTCGTAGACTTATAGATGTCGTGGCACTGAGTGTGGAAGTTGAGCTGGGAATTAGGGGTTGGAGGGTTTTCTGCAGGCCAGGGATGCCACACTCTTGTCAGTGGTGGGGACGTCACCCTGCCAATCTGGGGCAGAAGTGACGGAACAGGGAGAAGCAAGGGATGGTGATGAGAGACTTCAGGCTCCACTGAGTGGCTCGTGGACTTAGTGGGTCACTTGGGACTTGTGCTGGCTGTCACTCCTCTGACCTGCACATCTCCCTGCAGGTAAAAGGCTCAGGGTGACCAGCTCCCTTATCTGAGCCTCTCTGGAGGTTGGGGATGGTGTTGATTCACTGAGGCAGGGTGGGGCTCCTGTAGAAGGGGTGGGATGGGCCTGCATGACCTGGACCTTGGTTGGGAACAGGATGGAGCCACATGACCTTGGGCAGGAACCAGCTTCCTATGTTGTGTTCTTCCTCATGGGTTGGGGCTCCAGCTCCCAGTGCCTGCTTGGTGGCTTCCTGGCCCTGTGTGAGTCTCCCAGAACTGCCTCAGTGTAGGACACATACACCTGTCCCCTCACAGTGCAGGAGGCTGACATCTGAGAACATGATGCCCAAGGTCCGCACTCCCTCGAGATTACAAGGAGAGTCTTCCTTCCCCCTTCTGGCTTCTGGTCGCTCTGGGCACCCTTGCCTTGTGTGCCACTCTGATCTCTGCCAAGGTCTTCATGGCCTTTTCTCTGCATCTCCACTCTTGTGTGCTATAAGGACTCTGGTTGGATTTAGAGCTGCTCAGATCCCTTATGGTCTCCTCTCCATCCTTACCTTAGTCCCATCTGTGGAGGCCTGCTTCCAGGCAAGGCCTTGTCGAGTTCCAGGCACTCATGACCTTGTGGGTACTGCCTGGGTGTGATGCTGGCACACTGGAGCTTTAGAGGGGTGGTTGAAGGCTTCACTAAACACAGTGGTGGATATACCTAAAGTGTACCAATAAACTCAATGAGGAAAAAAAAAATACACAGTGGTGGTGAGTGGGGAGCTACATGAGGATCCAGAGGAAGGGTATGCCAGCTGTCAGAACAGCAAGTACAAAGGCCCTGAGACAGGAGTAAGAATGGCTGGCATGGCTGGAATAGTATGAGGTACCCACAAGTATCTCAAGTGTCTTCTGTGAGCTGGGCACCAGGGAACAAGAGGAACAGAGCCCCCTCAGATCCTAAGGAGCTGATGTCAGGCAACAGGACCTGTCCAACAAACCCAGAAATAAGTGCCACTTAACCTGAGAATAGACAGAAGGTGGTCTGTTATGGGAGTGTTCTGGCAGCAGTGCTGACCGTAAGGAACAGGTGGACTGAGAGAGGCCCTTCAAGTCCCGGGTAGAGGGAGGAGGATATGGCAGGTGTGATGGTGACTAGGAGTTTTAGATGTGAGGGTGCCCTTGCCTTGCCCAGGGCCCGGGAAGCCTCTCCTTCTGGCTTGGCTATTCCCTGATGGCCACTGACTCAGCTCTTCTCCCATTCCCTTCTCTCACTACAGGAAGAAAACCGGCAGATTCTGGCCCGGCAGAAGTCAAACTCACAGTCTGACTCCCATGATGAGGAGGTGTCGCCGACGCCCCCGAACCCGGTGGTGAAGGCCCGGCGCCGGCGAGGGGGTGTGAGTGCCGAGGTCTACACGGAAGAAGATGCTGTCTCCTATGTTAGGAAGGTGAGGGCCTGGCTGGTTCACACGCACCAGATTCCTGGGGGCCCCTGTCACTCCTGGGGCCTCCATTTCCCTTTGGGTCAGAGATTGGAGCCACATGGGCTGGGACACACACATGGGAGTCACCATCACCTGAGCTGAGCATGTGTTTATGGGAGGGGCTTGTGTGTGTGTTTGAGGGGGGAATCCCTGCAATCCCAAGTGGCTTCAGATTCTAATAGGCTCAGGGAGGGGATAGGACCCCTACACCCCATCCAAAGAATCCGATGGGGTGGTTGTGACCTGCTGCAGGTCCGCTGGTCTCCTAAGGGCCCCAATCCTGACAGACCCAGGTCCATAAACCCACTTCCCAAGACCCCGTTTCCCCATCTCACACACTGGTGGTTAGGGCTTCAGTACAGCAATTAGGGGCACAATCTGGCTGCAGCCCATCCTGATCACTTTCTGGTGCATAACTCATAGACGTCAAGTGCATTCACAATACTGTCACCATCACCGCCATCCACTTTTGAGAACTCTCTCATCTTGCAAACCAGAACTTGTTGCCCATCAAACATTCACTCTCCCTTCCCCATTCCTGGTACTTTTACGATGAGGTGATGATACTGAAAGTATTACTTAAGAGGCCATTGGGACACTCCACCTCCATAGTGTCTCTTCCTCCAAACCCAGCCTTGCAAGTGAGCATAGAGAAAACCTCAGATATACCGAGAGTGAGGGACAGTGTGCAGAATGTGACCAGCGCTCTGCATAGACATCAAAAAATAAGCCCTTGAAAGCCAGGGAAGGTTGAGAAGTGGCCTGAGCCAGAGGAACCAAGGGACCGGACTACTAGTTGTGCCTCAGCAGAGTCTCAGGGCAGGACAAGGTCACTGGGGAAACTGGGAGGTCAGCGTATGGGTTCAGTTGCTAGGCTGAGGTGAACCATACAGGACCAGAGGGTCTTTACACCTCTTCCGTAAACAGAAACTGTTCTAAAAAGCCTGCTAGGGTGGGAGTGGCTTTAAGGAGTCTTAGTCTAGCTTCTGAGCGTCTCTGTTGTGGTGTGTGTGGTGGGAAGGTTTTGCATGAGTGCAGAGGCTGATGTCACAGCCACCCCAGCACAGCCCTCCTGAGCCCTGTGTGTGGCCCATAGCCTGATTGCCCTGTGTTTGGATTGCAGGGCACCCTGAGCAGTGGGGTGCTTGTGATTTTCTGTCACTCAGCGATCTTGAGTCAGACCTCTGTATCTAAGACTCCCCCCAGGCCCAGCCACTGACCCCAGTCCAACCCACTGATCCCAGCCCCTCCCAGGGGCCCTGGTCCACCCTGTTGACCCTGTCCCAGCCTGATGGCTTTCTTTTCAGATCCCACCTCTTCCTTACTTTGTCCTCATCCCCTTGGGTGTGGCCCCAAGCATTGATTTGTCTATTTTTTTCCAGCATTCAATTTTTAAACAACTGCTAATTACCTCTTTTAAGATCTAGTAAAATAAGCAAAGATAGTAACCCCAGTGCCTGGCTGTCATCTAGACCTTCTAGGTAGCTCTGAAGCACAGCAGAGTCAGCCAACAGCAACCCAGATTGAGACGAAGCTCACACTGGCTCTTGGTCACTCGGGGTTCCTCCTTTTTTATTTTTAAAATTAAAACAATCCTGAAATATACATACAATTGCACCCCACGCCTTTTTAGCATCCTTGATACCAGTACCACACAGAAGGCAGGATGTTTGGTTTCAAACCACTGTGTTCCACAGAGTTAAACTGGCATCTGGGACTCAGTTCTGTCACCCATCCCCTGTCCTGCCCCCTGTGACGTGCGGTCTGATTTTCCTTGGCTCCTGCAGGTTATTCCCAAGGACTATAAGACCATGACTGCGTTGGCCAAGGCCATTTCCAAGAATGTGCTGTTTGCCCACTTGGATGACAACGAGAGAAGGTAGGGTTGGTGCAAGGCTGGGTCCTCTAGCTCTGGGCAGCACCACACCCCTCCTGGGCTGCAGGACCAGTCACAAGGCCAAGTCTGTCCTACTTGGAACCGACACCCCAGCCTGTAACTCCCTCAAATACTAGGTCTGGATCCAAAGCGTCCCACACCCTGAGCCTCCTTTCGTGCTTCCGGAGCCTGTGGGCTGAGTGTTCTGGCACCCTCCCGCTGTCCTCACTGAGAGGGCCAGAAGCACGTGCCTGCTCTTACCTGTGCTCAGTGCTCTGGGCCAGGGGCAGGGAGCCTGAGTCTCCACCAGCAGACTGGAGGTTGATCATTCCGTGGGGCAAGGGACCTATTGGCTGGGAAGGGCTCTGGTGGGTGTTGTGTTAGTAATTGGAAGACCAGGAAATAGAAGGCAGAAAGTAAAAGTATTATTCCCTGTTACCCAAGTGGCAGAGATAACGCTGGGGATCCTTGGGGGTGATCCTTGAGGATCCTAACTCCATGTGTCCTCACAGAATGGATCTCATGCCAGTCACACTGTCACACTTACATGTCCTGAATGTTTCTGTCAGTGAATGTTTATAGTGGTTTTAAAGTTTTTCCTATCAATTTCTGTTGAGTTGAGGCTCAGCTGCCTTCAGACTGTGGCTATTTGCCACATATATATATAATAAACAACCAATTGGTGACTATCCCTGGATGGTTGTCTAAGAGTTTTTGTCCATTTCTTTCTTTAGGATAAATTCCTCGATGCAAATCAGGTATGATGTTACACACCTGTATTCCCAGCATCCTGGGAGGCTGAGGCAAGAGTATCAAAAGTTTGAACCCAGCCTGGGTTTAGTGAGACACTGTCTCAAAATAAAAAATAAAGAATTGAGGTGCAGCTCAGTGGTAGAGCTCTTGCCTGGCATGTTCAAGGTCCTGCACTCAAGCAAAAAAGAGACCATAATGGGTGTGATTATATAAGGGATTGAAAGGCTATTGTTACATTTTTCTGGGTTCTCACCCTGAAAGGGCTGGAGGGGCAGCCCAGAGGATCTGTGCTTAGGGGTGATGTCCTGACCACCAACCTTGCCCCCACCTTCAAGGGCCAGGCAGTCTCTCCAGGAGCCCAGGGTGAGTGATGGCTGGTGTAGTGTGTGTAGGGCCATGTGTCTGAGAAGCCCTGGCCACCTCTGTTTCTGCCAGGGACCCCAGGTAGGCATCACTTGGGGTGGGGCTGAGGCCAAGCTAGTAGGACAGATGGGAACATTGTATGGGGATGCCCACATGATTCCCATAGTGCAGTCTATTCCCTTTCAGCTGGGGTGACTTTCTTCATACCCCAGGATGTGGGGTGCTCTTACTTCATGTTCAAGGAGACAGGGAATCTCTTCTCTGTTTACTGGGAAGGCCTGACCAAAGTGGTGTCCTGAGCTGTGCTGATCAGGTTTGTAATTCGTTCTGTAGCCAGGTTTTCCCAACATAGGACCAGTGGTGAACTTCCACTGTGGAGAGCATCCAGGCCCTAGCAAGGAGCAGTGACAGGGTCGGCAGATACAAATGACCTGGCTCCTGGAACCCAGGGATGTCTTCTCCTGCAGCCCAATAGGACTTTGCACACATGATTAAGTAGAGGTCCTCGGTTCCCTGGTGGGCTCTAAATTCTGTGTCTGTGCTTCTTAGAGGGAGGTGGAGGGAGTTGTATGACCAGATTCTGGGACCAAGTGCTATGGCCACAAGTCAAGGGACTCTTGGAGCCACCAGGGGCTGGAGGAGGAAAGGAGGGGGTCACTCACACCTAGATTTCCACCTGGTCATTCTGACCTTGGATTTCTGGCCTCCCTGGCCGCAGGCAGCAAGCCCTGCCAGTGGAGCGGTTTCTAGCTGGGAGGTGGGTCACTGAGACAGCCTAGGATTGTGGGGAGGGAGGTCTCTGCATCCTGGAACCAGGTGGGCAAGAAGTGGAGGAAGCAGATGGCTGGATTAAAGACTCCACTTTGCAGGGTTGGTTGGGAAAGGAAGCGCTGGGGCGTGTGCCTGTGGCTTTTGTTTTGTACAGAGGAAAACTCACTTTCCATATTGACACATTGGGCTCCTTTTTCTGGCCGTGGTCTAAAGGAACGGCGGGCGGATGGCTCAGGAAAGGGTTCCAGAGGGAGTGGGTGGAGGCGTTGTCTCTTGACCTTTCCTGTGATGCCCCCCCCCTCCCCCAGGGCAGCATCCAGATACTAGGCTTTTTCCAGCTGACTAGAAGCTGGGTTTGACGGCCTCGTCTCGCCCCGGCTGTGGTTTGGCCAGTGCCACAAAGTTCCTTCCAAGTTTGCCGGTGTCTGGCACGCCCTGACCTGGGGGCAGCCTGCGGCTCCGCTTCCTCACGTGGGCAGAAGAGAGCAGGGCACTCTTTGCCGAGGGATCCGCCTGTACTGTGAGCACCCTCCTGCCTGCCGTTCCCTCCCTCCAAATTCAGACTGGAGAGAAGCCTGTCCCCTCAGGTTGGTGATTTTTTCTTTTTGCCCACATCAATTTATGACATGTCTGTGTTGCGCCAGACATACCTGAAGATTATGTGGAATTGAATGCTTTTTTTTAAAGGAACGAAACACAGCATGGTTGTGTGGTGGGGCCGGGTGGCCAATTTCCCAAACTGCTAGCTTTGTCTTTTGGGATGGGGCACATATGGTTAACCCTTCCCGGAGGTTGTCCGTGGGCCTTTGCTTGGTGCCCTGAGAGAAGCATAATGTGATTCTCTGGCCTCAGTTTCTTCCCCTGTCCCTTGCCAAGGCTGCATTTACGTGTGAAGCAGAGCCAGGGTGGTGAGTTCACGTCATCAGCCTTGTCCCTGCCCGCAAGTCAGTGAGTGGGGTCCCTGAGTGCTGGACCTGAATTACCACACACAACAACCCCACACACACACGGGCACCACGGTTTAAGATGTAGGAAGACATCTGTTGAAAGGAGAGAGTCATGCAGTGTTGTTTACAAGATACAACCAGCCTGATCTTCCCTGGGCCTCAGTTTTCTGAGATGTCAAATGAGGTAGTGATGCCTGCTTTGAGGGTGGTGATTCAGTAATGTCCGTCTGTGCATGATTTCACTACCGCCATCATAGTCGTTGCGGTTATCATCCTCGCCACCACCTCTGTTGTGACCGTCACTGTCACCATCGTCAGTCACGACCATCCTCATCACTGTCTTCGGCTCCAATGTCACCATCGCCGTCACTACCACTGTCATCTCTCTGGTAGCCCTGTGGCTGGGTGGGCAGATGTGCTCATCAGCAGGCTTCTCCCTGGGTGGTGCTTTGCCCAGCTGTCCAGCAAGACCCCACCATTCCTTGGGGCTTAGTCACAGAGACCACTCTGCGAGGTCATTCTCTGTTCTTCCCTGGGCCTCAGTTAGCAGGTGGGCTCTGCTAGGCCTCAGGACACCCCCAGCTAGAAGGAAGTCCCCTGGGCAGCCACCTTGCCCCACCTCAGTGTGCAGGAGACAGCTCCAAGGGTCAGTGAGGGGTAGGAGGTCTGCATCTGGGGATGATGGGGTGTCCTTGTGCCCCAGGGTGACCCTCTGGAGTAGCAGTTGTTCTGGGAGGCCCCAAGGGTAAATGGCAGGTGCAGCCTCCAGCTGGCTGTTGCTGTTGGCAGCAGAGCAGATCTTCACCCTCTTCATGAGGCCAGGCAGTTGATTCTTGTCCAGGGACCCCAGAGCCCAAGTAGGTGCCCCAGGGAGCTCAGGAGCCCTGCGGTGTGCCGGGACCATCAGGACCTGGCCCAGGAGGGAGGTGGAGGCCCCTGGGCTCCTCCTAGTCCCTTCCAGGCTCCCTGATTAGGGCTCCTCAAGAGGGAGCATGGCTGAGCCCCTGAGAGCGTGGTGATTAGGAGGCCCTGCCACATGGGGCCTGGTGTGGCCTCATTACCAGAGCTGCCAGCCATGCAGGCAGTGAGTGAGGGCATCTCACCCTGGGGCGGCCTCCCTGGCAGCAGCTCCTGCTCTCTGCTGCTCTAATTAAAGCATAGGCCTCTGGCCTGAGTGTGCGCCACAGGCCCGCACAGCTGTCTCCTGTTATCTGTCGCTGTCTCTCTTCCTCCCACCCGCGTATCTTTGCAGTCTGTTTTTCCACAAATTGGCGCTGGGCCTCAGGTGATGGGAAAAACATGCCTGTCTGTAGAGTCACATGCAGCTGACGGGAGCTGTCTCCGCGCCGTACCAAGCCTTCCCGATGCCCTGTCTCCAGCCTGGCGTGGGCTTTGGAACATTTTCCCTTGTAGGCAGCATTAAAGAACAAAGTTAGCATTTTTGAAAATGCAGGGCCTCATCTGAAGAGATGCTTAATGACTCGAACATGCAAAAGATTTGATTGCCGTCTTGCACAAAGCCAGGCTTGCTTCAGAAGCTCAAATCCAATGGAGGGGTTAGAAATCTGGGTCCCTGGAGCTTGCATCAGGTGACACATTCTAATGCCAGTCCCTGGACCATGGGCCTCATCTGTGTCATAGTGATAGGGGCCTCCAAGCATCCCTCTGAGGCTCATATTGTGCCATTTGGCAGGTAAGACACAGTGAGATTAAGAAAGCTGCCCAAGGCCACCCAGTTAGGAGAAGTTGGGATTTGAGCCCCTGATGCCCTGGGCTGACTGATAACACCCACCATGAATGTAGGAGCAGATCTTTAACCTCCCAGGAAATGGCAGCAACGTGTGTGTGTGTGTGTGTGTGTGTGTGTGTGTGTTGTGTGTGTGTGTGTGTGTGTGTGTGTGTGTGTGTGTGTGTGTGTGTGTGTGTGTGTGTGTGTGTGTGTAACAGTTGAACCCAGGGTCTTTGCATCAAGCTACATTCCCAGTCCCTTTTCATTTTTTGGTGTTTATTTTTTGTTTTGTTTTTTGAGACTAGGTCTCACTATGTAGTTGAGACTGACCTGGAATTCACTATGTAGCCTAGGCTGGTCTGGAACTCGCACTGATCCTCCTGCCTCAGCCTCTCGAGTGCTGGGATTACAGGTGTGTGCCACCATGCCCAGCTCAGCCC